GGCTTCTTAGACCCTTCTGCTCGCCGCCAAGATTCCTCGCAGGGGGTGGGCCTGAACGGTGTCTTGGCGATGCCGTGGGCCGTGTTCGTTTCGGTGTCGTCTTGCGTCAGCGGCGGGTTGAAGACAAGACGAGGGACAACGAAAGCAAAACGAAAACGAAAAACACCGTTTAGGTCCAGCCCTGGAGGGGAAAACAACGAAAACGAAAACCAAACCAGGAGGGGAAGAAAACACAGACACGATTCCTCGCAGGGGGTGGACCTGAACGGTGTTTGGGCGATTTCGTGGGCCTTGTTCGTTTCGATGCCGTCTTGCGTCAGCGGCGGATTTTGAAGACAGGACGAGGGAAAACGAGAGCAAGACGAGAACGAAAAACATCGTTTCTGATTCTTCGCTGCTTCTCCGGAAAAGATGGGAAGATCTGGGGCGTGGGGGGGAAGACGAAAACCCAGAACATTTTGAAAAAATAGGGGAATCCTGGGATCGCGAAGGCCTTACGGCCGATGCCGCCGACCCTGTAGGCAGCGACGACGAAGGTAATGGAGGCAGAGGAGTCCAGGATGCCCTCAGATGGCTCGAAGACGGCGCCAGATGCCTGCAGGGTCGTCCGAAGACAGCTCAGGAGGCCTCCTTCTGGGACGTGGGGAGGAAGACGAGAACCCAGAATGTATGGGAAAGATTTGGGGACTCCTTGGATTTGTCTATTGCGTGCCCCTGGGCCCCTTTCACCACCCCTCTCGCCGCCCCCAGGGTTGCGGAGGACGATCAGTGGAGAGGAAGCATGTTGCCGAATAATTTCCAAGTGTCCAAAACATGTGTTAAACAGGTTGTAAACATGAGAAAAACATATTTGCAACATGTTTAGAACATTTTCCGACATTTCAAACGCACTTTAAATTCTAGACGCTTCGCGTATCCCCACCAGCCTGATCCGCGGCCCCCGCGCGCGCTCGGCAATTCAGTCGCGGCCGTAGCCCGCCCGCGACCTCCCGCCGCTGGCGCTTCCGCCTGCGGCTGTAAAAAAACAAGTATCCCCACCAGCCCGTCCAGAAACGACGCCCAGGCGAGTAGAGGGTCGTCCTGAGGGGCTTTTCGGCGTCTTGGGTGCCTCGGGGGGGCCTCTGTGGGCCGTTCGGAATCCTCTTTGGGGCCTCCTGGGGGCCTCTTGGGGCCTCTTGGGGCCATCTTGGGGCCTCTGGGAGCACCTTGGGTGCCTCTGGGGGGTCTCTTTGGGGGCCTCTAGGGGGCCTCTTGGGGCCATCTTGGGGCCATGCTGCGGCCTCTTGGGGCATCCTGGGGGCCTCTTGCGGCCATCGTGGAGGAAATCGATCAAAGAAGAGGGGTTCCTAAATTTCAGCCCCCCCCTCAGGAGCCACGATCCTCGTGAGGGGCGTCGAATTTTAGCCCTCCCAGGGGTCGTTCTTGGACGCTCTAACTACCCGCGGCCCCCCCTGTCCAGGTCAGTGGGGAGGGGGTAGGGGGAGGGGTAAACCCCTCCCCGAAGGGGAAGAGGGAGGGGTGGAAGAGGAAACTCGTTAAACCACCGACGCCCAGAGGGCTGGTGGGATTCAATGATAGGACTGTTAGGGTGTGCATTATCGTGGCATCCCCGCCCCCAGGGTCGATCTCTCCCCCCGGAGGGGAGCCATGAGAGGCCGCACCCTTTGCAGGAAACGATCCGCAGGAGGAAAGGGTGTGAGGCCAATGTTCGGCGGCCAGCGAGGGGGGGGGGTCGGGTTCGAAGTTCGAGGTTCGAGGTTTTCGGGTGTTTTCGCAGTTTCTTGGCGGTTTGCCGCCCTCGGGATGCGTTCCAGCGGCTGCGCCTCGCCGAGCGCGTTCCGGGGATGCCCGGATCGTCCTGAACGGCCGCCGGAGACCCGAGTTATGACCCGAAAATTGAATTCGGCGGCGAGCGAGGGGGGGAAGTGAGGTCTCCTGTGTCTGCGGGGAAGGTTTGGCACACTTCTCAGAAGGCCAGGTGACTTCCGAGCCTTCCGGAAAGGCCCGCCCCTTTTCACTTCCCTCCCCTCGCTCTCGCTGGCCGCCAAGAAAGGGGAGCGAGGGAACGAACACAGGGTACAGCATCAGAGGGGGAGAAAAATTGGCGGAGTTACCAGCCTGGAACATATCCCTATCCCTATGCTGGGCACCGCCTCATCACGATGGCAATCTTAGGGATTCCCTAATTATGTGAGGGCGAATCCCTAAGATTGTCATCGCCTTTTGGCGTGTCAATCTTAGGGATAGGGATACGTTCGAGGCTGGTTACGGAGGGATTCATCGGCGCGGGGATCTCCATGTCTCCATTTGTGAGCGTCTGGGTGAGAGCCTTAGCCGGTGGCGACTGAGCGCTCCCTTGCCTTTCCCTCTCGGCGCGCCCAAGTACGATGCTTGCTGCATCTGCATTCGCTTGGGACTCTGGAAGGAAAGGCGTCGGGGGTGCCAACACCAGTGCTTCGCTCGAGACTGCTCCACAATCTTGGCGCGAACTTCAAGTGCAACTCACCCTGGCAGCTCCCCCTTCGGGTGCCCAAGTGTTCTGTCTGCTACATCGCCGTGATCGTGATCATGAGGCGCTCGACAGGCAGGTTGGAGAACTCCAAACAAGAGCCCTGCTCAAGACACTCCCTGAATCTTGGCGCGAGCGGGAAGTGCCCTGCCCCTCGCGGTTCCCTTTTGGTGTGGAGTGCTGTGACTGCCATATCGGCGTGATCATGCGCTTCGCTAGAGACATCCCCACAATCTGGGCGCGAAGAGGCAAGAGCCATACTCCCTGGAGGCTGACACCTTGGGGTGTCCAAATACCATGCTGGCTTCAGCGAGGTGAACACGAGGCTCTCAAGAGGTATTTGCCAGGTGCTCCATACAAGCGCCTCGTTGAGACATCCCCGCAATTTGGGTGCGAACGGGCACGTGTCATATGCCTTGGCGTCTCCCCTTGGAATGCCAACGGGCTATGCCCGATTATGCCTGCTATGTCGACGTGGTCATGAGGCTCTCAAGAGACAGGTGTCGGGGGCTCCAAACGGGCGCCTCGCTCGAGACATCCCCAAAATCTGGGCGTAAACTGGCGAGTGTCACACCCCCTGGCGTCCCCCTTCGGATACCCAAGTGCTATGCTTGCTATAGCGAGGTGATCGTGATGGTTCTGAAAGACAGGAGTCGGAGGCTCCAAACGAGCGCCTTGCTCGAGACAGCCCCACAATCTGGGCACGAATAGGCAAATCAGACCCCCCCCGGCGGCTTCCCCTTGGGGTGGGGGAGGAAGGAGGAGGCGGGAGGGAGGCAGAGGCGTCGAACTGATCACAGCAGCTGCATCTCAGGATTATGGGACACCCCAGCAGGGGGAGAGCAATTGGCCGAGGGAAAAACACAGGCTCCTCCTCCTCCTCCACCTCCTCCTCCTGGCCCTCCTCCTGTCACGCATCTTCCCCCCCTCCCCCGTCCTCTAGCTAACTCCCGCACGACTCCGAGTGCCTCCAGCGGGCTCCGGCCCTGGAGGCCTCAGGAAGGGGCGCTCCGAGAAGCCCTCGGTGCCACGAGCGCCAGCTGGGCTCCTCCCCTGCTCGGGGAAGCAATAATGACATACAGGCGGCCCGGATTACATTGGGGGCGCGCATCAAGAAGCCATATGCTTTTCGTCAGGGTATCCTGGGTTCCTTAGCTGCTCGCGCTGCGCGGCGACTTCCCGCGGCCGTTGAAGGAGCTGCTGCGTTCAGGGTGCTCCGTGTTTCCCCTCCAGTGCACCTCGCGCGCAGGTTCTCAGGGTTGGGTTTCTTGCGAGGGTTTCTTGCGGCCGCGCCCGCGCTGTAGTAGGTCGACCCTGCCAGATCCAGGGTACCCTCGTGTCCTGTGTCTTGCGACCCGTGCCTCCTGCACTCCTGTGGCGACGTGGCCCTCGGGAGGGTCTTGTGTCCTCTCGCGTGTCCTCTCCGATCGAGTCCGACTGTAAACATGCGCTCTCGGGGATCCGCGCAGACCTCCGTTCTTCGTGTTTATGTCATCGTTGGTTCCCCTCGCTCAGCTCCTCCTTCTTCTTCTTCATCTTCTTCTTCGTCTTCTTCTTCTTCTTCTTCTCCTCCTCCTCCTTCTTCTTCTTATTCTTATAATAAGTATTATTATTGCGAAGGCCTTACGGCCGGTGCCGCCGACCCTGGAGGGCGACCCATGCGTTCTTTAATGTGGCGGGGGGGGCCTCTTGGGGGTATCTTTGGGTCTCGTGGGGGGGGGTCGTGTTGGGGCCGTTGTTGGCAATCGTGAAGCAATAATAATAATTATTATTAGTAGTAGTCTTCTTCTTCTGTAGCGGCCCGGAGCATGCCCGCCCGTGGCAGCACTCGTGCACCGAAAGCGGGGCCAGGCGAGGGACAGCAGCACGACTGCGGCCCCGCACTCCGCCCGGAGGCGCCTGGACCCGGCACCCCTCGGAGGCGGAGGCGGCGGGGGAGGCCGGGCGGCCTCTTGCGGAGGGCTCGGCCTCCTCCTCCTCCTCTTCCTCCTCCTCCTCCTCTTCCTCCTCCTCCTCATCCTCCTCCTCCTCCTCCTCCTCCTCCTCCTCCTCCTCGTCATCATCATCATCATCATCATCATCATCATCATCATCATCATCATCATCATCATCATCATCATCATAAGGCAAGGGCGGCTCGGTGGGCGCCCGTCGGCCGAGCGGCGGGGGCGCCGCGGGGCGACGCCTGCGCCGGCCACCACGGGGGGGGGGGGCGGCCTGTGGCCCGGGCCGGCCTCGTGCTTGGCATCGCTCGGGCGTGTGCACTTTTCCTTCGGCGAGGGCCATTTCCAGGAGCATCCTTGATCACTTGGCGAAAAAAAAATCACCGCGCACGGAACCGGAACAAAAGACACGGGGAAGGGGCGTCCGAGCGATGGCGAGCGTGAGCCTTTGCCTGGGCAAAGGCCTCTGCGGCGAGCCTCCACTGCCCCCGCCGCCCGCGCCCCCCGCCCCGCGCCTCGGCGTCCGCCCGCCGCCGCCGCCCGCACAGGCGGCCGCGGCCGAGGAGGGCATCTTGGCCAGCCCCCCCGCTTGCGCGAGCCGCCGTCGCCACCGCCTTGGGCGCCCGTCGCCGGCGTCGTCGTCGTCGTCGTCGTCGTCGTCGTCGTTCCAGGTGTCGTCGTCGTCGTCGTTGTCGTCGTCGTCGTCGTCGTCGTCGTCGTCGTCGTCGTCGTCGTCGCAACGCTGGCCAGCCGCAACGCTGGCCAGCCGCCTCGCCCCGGCCGGCCACCCTGCCAGCGTGGTGCGGCCACCGTGCACGGCTGGCCGGAGCCCAAGACCACGGCGGCGGTTTCCCTTGAGTTGATGGGCATGCCTTCCACCACTACCATAGGTTAGAGGGGGAGGGGGTCCACCCCCTCCTCCTGCTCCTCCTCCTGCTCCTCCTCCTACTCCTGCTCCTGCTCCTCCTCCTCCTCCTCCTCCTTCTCCTCCTCCTCATCATCATCAGCATCATCATCATCATCATCATCATCATCATCATCATCCTCATCCTCATCCTCATCCACATCATCATCATCATCATCATCATCATCATCATCATCATCATCATCATCATCATCATCATCATCATCATCATCATCATCCTTTCCCCCCTCCAACTTATGGTGGTGGTAGGGGAAAAGGGGCCCATCACTTGGGTTCCCGAGAAAGTTCTGCAGTTGGGTTTTGGCCTCTGCCTTGGCGCCTCGGGGGGAGGGGCGCGGGCATCCGCGCGGGCTTGCCGTGGGGCCGCGGCGCCCAGTCACCAGGGTGCACGGCGCCGTGGCCCTTCGGTCTCGGGGTGTCGCAACACGGCGGCGAAGGTGCCAGCGCCTCGCGCGGGCGCTGAGGCTCGGGCCAGACAAAAGGGGGGGATTGGGAAAGGGGGGTTACGAAATCTGCTGCATGCAGCTGGTTTCGGCCCCACCGAGGGGCCCACTCCTCGATACATGGCCGCCTCCGGCGCCAGGAGGCGCCGGGAAAATCAGCTACGTGAGCTGATTCTCACCCCCCCCCCGTTGCTATCCCCTCCTTTCGCCCGACCCGAGAGGCGGGGGGGGCATCGATTGCGTGGTTTTTCACGGAAGCTTCAGAGGTTCCCAAATTTGTTTGCTGTCTGGGGGAGGGTCTTTCTTATCGCGTCAGGCTTGGTGGGCAACTGACCGAAGTCTGGACGAAGTTGGGGCGAAGTCTGGACGCAAGGGTGAAGAGGGGTGGTCGAACTCTGGAAGAAATCCTGTCGAAATTGCAGTCATGATAGGGCTGCGGAGGTCCAGAGAGGTTCCCATGTATGCTCACCTAGCCGAGAGTGGCCAGTGGTCGAGGTCTGGGCTTGGAAGCAGACTTTCACGCGCCTGTTGTGTCTTTCGCAGCCCGATGGCGTCAGTCACGGGTGACCAACGCTCTTGGCATCGCTCGGACGTGCGCATTTGTTCTTCGGCGAGGACCATGGAGAAGCATCCTGGATGACTTAGCGAAAAAACACGCACGAAATCGAAACATACACGAGGAATGGACGTCCGAGCGATGGCAAGCGCTTCGAGGACGGGCAAGGCCGCCAGCGAGCATCATTGTGGTTAATTTCCAGCACCAGATGCCCGCACGCGGCGCCGATTGCTTATCCGCCATCCCTTCCTCAACCCTTCGCTCCTTCTCTCCGCCGTCCTTCCCCTCCTTTTTCGCGCCTTTTTCTGCTAGCTTACGGACACGAGGTTCGTAGCGTTGGTGCTGGCGTTCTTCGGCGTGCGCAATGCCCCCCAGAAGCGCCCCTCAGGCGGCCCCACGACTCCCAAGCCCAAACCCCCGCACGCAACGATCACCGAAGATGCCCCCCATAGAAATCACAGCTCCCCAAGGGCACCCAGCCCCCCGAAGATGTCCGAAGTAGCGCCCGAAGAGGGCCAAAAGAGGGCTTCAATCTGTCCAGGGCAACCGCAAGATAGCCGCCACTGGAGCCCAAGAAGACCAGGATGGCCCCAAGACGGCCCAAGAGATGTCCCAAGAAGGCTCGAAGATGGCATAGGAATGCCCAAGGGGACCTGACGTGGCCCCAAGAGACTGCAAGACAGTCCCAAGAGGACTCCACAACGGCCAGCATCCGCTGGCCTGATTGCTTATGACCGACTAGAACCTATGCGTGCGCGAAGCGCGCGTGTGATTTTATATAATATGCCAGGATGCCAGGGGCCTGGGGCCAGGGCCAGGACACCCTCCCAGAAATCCCCCCCCCTCTTGGTCTACGACATTTTGACCCCTTCCAGGGCCTCCCGGGCCTTCCCCCGCCGTTCAAAACAGCTCCGGGGGCAACCAACAAAATGACCAGAGCGGCCTGACAGGGGCGAAGACGCCCGAATATTGTTTCAAGACGGCTCAAGAGATCCGAAGACGTCCTAAGAAGGCTCCTGTGCCCCGAGAGAGCTCCAGGATGCAAAAGTTGTTCCATCCTTACGGCAAGCACACATTTTAGCATATTCGCGTTTTGGGTCTTCCCAGCGTCCAAACGGCGGCTTAGAGGCCCCAAAGATCACCCCAAGACGGCCCAAGAGGCGAAAGAGCCCCAGGAGAGCCCCAAAACGGTCTAAGAGGCGCCCAAGATGACCCAATAGGGCCCCAACAGGGATCCAAGAGGGAAATCCAACTGATTTCGAGCCCTCCGCTCCAAGTGGCAGACCCCCAAGGAGCCCCCCAAGGGGTCAAAAAGAGGCCTCACGCGGCCCCCAAGAGGCCCCAAGAAGCTTCAAAAGTCGCTCCACGAGGCGTCCGAGAAGCATGCCAACAGACAGGTATCCGAGAATCCTCTGGCCCAAAACTCAGGCACGGTAGCGATTTGGGCCGAAGGCTAATAAGCCAGCAATTGGCTTGGCGACGGATCCAACCCCATGCAGTCATGTGTAGCGCAGGGCGCGGGTCTCTCTTCATGCACTGCGCGCCGCGGGGCATTGCGGAAACGGGCTGCTGCGGAGCACACGTGCACGGGTTCGCTGAACTCTTTGTGGGGCACCCTCCGCGTGAAGGGCGTGCCGAATAATTCGGATGCCCCTGAGCGAGCACGCCCGGTGAGGCCGCAGGTCGACCTCCTCTGGGCACGACCCGTGCGAGGCACGTTCCGAAGTGGGCGGGGGGGCGCCGTGCGAAGTTGCCCACGGTGCCACAGGTGGAGCTCCTTCTGGGGCATGGTTCGCGCGACGGGTGTGCCTGCATAGGGGGGAGGGGGAGGGCTGTACGAATCTTATCTCTTGGCCCCCGCAGTGGGTGGGGGGCGTCATGCGAATGTTGCCTCTGGGGCCGTGGGTGGAGATCCCTGTGGGCCACGACCCGTGCGAGAGGTGTGCCAAAGTGGGCGGGGGGCGGCATGCGAACCTTGCCTCTGGAACCGTCCGTGGAAGTCCCTGAAGGCCACGATCCGTGCGAGAGGTGTGCCAAAGGAAGCCAGGCGACGCTGTGAAGCACCCCTCTGGTGCCGCAAATGCAGTTACTTGCTGGGCACGATCCGCGTGAAGGGCGTGCCATTATGCGAACCTTGTCTTTGGGGACAGAGGTGGAGGTCCCTGGTTGGGCGCGATCCCTTACCAGCATTGGCGGGGGGACTCTTAAGCCAAGCCTGTATCTGGGGCTGTCGGTGGAGCTCCCTGAGCTGCACGATCCGTGTGGCACTACGTGTCCTCCGACGCCGAGTACTCTAGACTACAATCAGAACTTGCTAGAACCTAAGCGTGCCCAGCGCGCGCGCGTGGTTCTAGTTTATGTTTATGCCAGTATTTTTTCTTCTAAGTAGAGCTCAGTGTCGCTTCACCGTTCCCCTATCCCCATCCCCATCCCGATCCTCACCATCTCGCCACCCCAGTTGGGGATGTGCCCCTCGAGGCCGAAGGGAGCAGCCTTCGTCCCCATCTTGGGGGGGTGAAGCGTCTAGTGGGGCCCGGGCCACGCCGGTGGGGACAGGGATCGGTCAAGCGATGCTCAAGCAGAATCGAGACACCACACCAGTCCAGTGCAGCAGAAACAGTTGAGAGGCGGAAGGAAACGGGGGCGACTGCGCCGACATTCGCTCGTGAACTTCCCGCGCAGGGTCGCGCGTGAGCGCCTTCCTCTCCACGCGGTGTGGCCCGCTGGCGGCCCGCCAAAGCCGCGGCGTCAGGTCGCTGTTTCCTCTTGCGTGAGACCCTCTTTGGTAGTCGCTCAGTTGGAAGAGCCCTGGAGCCTCCTTGGCGTGCCTCCTCTCCCCTCCTCCTCCCCCTCCTCCTCACCCTCCTCCTCCTCCTCCTCCTCCTTGTTTTCCTCCTCCCTCGTCATCCCTCCTCCTCCTTCTCATCTCTCGTCCTCCTCCCTCCTCGTCCTCCTCCTCCTCCTCCTCCTTCTCCTTCTCCTCGTCCGCGCTCGGGGAACGATGGGCTGGAGCTCCGAGATTGGAGCCTGTCCTCGGTGGGATCCAACGAACTGGGTCCAGTTTGGAACTCGGAATGCCCACGGGGTGCCCTGGCCTTGGTGCCCCCACGGGTTTGCGTGGCCCTTCGATCAGCATGCTCGCTTCCCTCCCGCTCCTCCCTCCGGTGCCGTCTGCTGGTCTCCGTATCCACCCCGTGCATCTCGTTCGGCGGCGCGCCCGGGGGGAAGGCAGAGTGCGCGGGCCTTTCCAGACGGCTCAGAGGCCCTCCGGCTCTAAGCTTCCCCCGAAGCTTCAAGAAGCCCCGCCGCCTTCCGAGAAAGCCTGCCCCCTCTCGCTTCCCCCCCTGGGGCGCGCCGCCAACTCGCTCGAGTGGGCCAGTCTTGGTCGTCGTCGCCGCCGTCCTCGTCGTGGTCGCCGCTTGCTGGTCTCCGTGTCCGCCGCGTGCAGCTCGCTCGAGAGGGCCAGTCTTGGTCGTCGTCGCCGCCGCCCTCGTCGAGGGGTTCTGCTGAGGTCGGGCATGTCCCCCTACGGGCGGATTTTGGGCGATTTTGTTTTTTTGTTTTGTTTTGATTCTTTTTTTTGAAATTGAACAAAAACGACCCCCAGAATAGCCAAACAATAGTCAAAACATCGCCCCCAGACTACTTGCTTTAGCTATGTTCGGGTTTTCCTCTCCTGTAGAGGGACCGTGCCCGACCTGAGGCTCTGCCGTCTCCGCCCCTGCCTGCGGAGGCCGCCGGAGGCCTCCGAGCCGCCCCGCGCGCCGCGCAGGCCGCGCCCGCCTACGCGGCGCCGTCTGGCAGCCTCGTGGCCGAGAAAAGTGATGGACCCAGGCGGGGGCGGGGGCGCCACACAGCTTGGCATCGCTCGGACGTGTGCATTTTTCTTTCGGCGAGGACCATCGGGGAGCATCCTTGATCATTTCGCGAAAAAAACACGCACGAAACCGAACAAAACATAGGAAATGGACGTCCGAGCGATGGCCAGACAGTCGGGAGCCACACGTCGGTACTGTTATCGGCCCGAGTATGGCTCGGGGGTGGACAGGCCTCCTACCCTGCCGCGTCGATGGAGGAATCGGCCGTCTTCGGTTCGCGAGAGGGCGTCGCGGCCGCTATTTTTGCGGGTCCAGGTCCGTCGGTTTCGGTCCCAGGCCGTTTCACTAAGGGGAGGTTTACTAAAGGGAGGCTTGTCCATGGCAGTTCCCGTGCATCTTGAACTCGAGCAGGGACCGGCCGTCCCAGCTAAAATTTCTAGGCCTACCACGAAATGCCCCGAGAACCGAAAAACAGTTCTAATAACAGAAACACAACGATCTCATAGCATAGACCCGATGTGTTGAAGCAAAACATTCCCAACCAGAAATGTTCTAAGAGCAGGTCGTGGAAGCCACAAAAGGTTCTTAGAGCATTGTTTGGTAGGCCTATAGGCGAACTAGGACGCTTCGCCACTGCTTGATGAACAGGGTTCGTTGTCGGCGTCGTTGCGGACGTTGCCCATGTGAGAGAGTGGGCCGCCTGCCTATCGCCTGCCCATGATCGGCCGCTGTCGGTTTTGGACTACCTTTGTTGTTGGGCATTGTGCCCATTTGTTCGCACCCGTTCCGGGCGTCCAGAACATATAAATATCAAAGATGCCTACAGCGAATTACGGCTGCCCCCTGCCCGTTGGAGTCGCCCATGCGGCCAAATGTGGGCCGCGACGTTTGGCAGAGTTATTGGAGCATGTGTTCCCTTAGCCGTTGTTGAGCCCCTTGGGCAAACACTTGGGAGTGGACGAGAAAGGCGGAGGAGGAGGACGAGGAGGAGGAGGAGGAGGAAGAAGAAGAACAAGAAAAACAGAGGGCTTCTTGAGGCCCTCTTGGGAGCCTCCTGGGGCCTCCTGGCGGTCCCCTGGGGCCTCTTGGGTGCCACTTGGAGGAGTCTGGGGGCCTCTGGGGGACCTTGGCCTTCCGAGGCCGCCCTGGGGCCCTCTCTGGGCCGACCTTTGGTCCTTCCTGGGGGGCTTCCGGGCGGTCGCCGAGGCATTCTGAGGCCACCTTGGGCGTCTGGTAGGTCTCCTGGACCGTCTGGGTGGCCCTCTTGGGGCCGTCTTGGGGGGACCCTGGGGCCGTCACGTGGCCATCAATGGTTCTGGATTCGTCGGGCCTTCCTGTCTTGCAGGCCCCTGGGGCCGTCCTGGGCCTCCTGGGCCACCTCGATGCCATCTCGGGCCGTCTCGGGTGCATCCTGGGCCGTCTCGGAAACACTTCGCGGCCAGCTTGGGCTCCTTGGGGGCCACCTCGGCCGTCCTCTGAGGCCATCTGACTGCCTTGGAGGCCGCTCTTGGGGCCATCTTGCGGGGGGAGGCCAAGGCAGAATCGCTTGGGATCGGCCGAGACCCCGCCGAGTAACCTGTCGCGCTCGCGGGCTGCCAGGAAGGGCGGGCTCGTTGGACGAGGCTGGTGTCGCGAGGCCTGCGGCCTTCCCGGCCCGACCTGAGCCCCCCGCCCCTCCCCCTCCCCCTCCCCCTCCCCTACGCCGTGCCATGCCGTGCTCTACAATGCATCGCGTACCCTTTCGGGATCATTGCCCTGCTCGACATCCGACGGTGCGAGTGGCGAGGGGATCTGCGCCATGGTAAGGGGTGGGAGGGAGGGGTAGGATGTCAGATATGACGCGAGCGCACCTGGCTTGCCCCCTCCCCCTCTCCCCCTCCCCCCACCACCCGAGGCGCCCCAGCAGCCGTCGAGGCCGCCCCTCTTGAGCCAGAGCCTCTCGCCGTTCCCGCGAGTTGCGTGCACCTGCCCCCCGCCGGCGGGCCGCGCGCCCCCGCGCCGTCCGCGCCCGTCGGCGGGGGTGCTCGCTCGGTCAGGGTCGGAGGCCCGGCCTGCCTAAAGGGGAGCGAGCAGTGGCACAAACACAAAAAGACTGGGAGGCCCGCGCGGATTTTGTCGGATCGGCGCTGGGGCCCCCCTGGCGGCGCCTCCGGCGCCGCCCCTGGCGCCGCCCCTGCGCGCCAGGGCGGGGGGTCCAGTGCCGATCCGAGAAGTCCGCGCGGCCCTCCAAGTTGTTATGGCTATGTCGTTGTTTGGTTCCCTATACTTCCCTACTCGCATCCTGTGCTTTGCGACCCATGCCTTATTTTTCCTTGTGGCAACGTGGCCTTCGGAATGGTCTTCGTGCCCTCTCGCATGTCCTCTCCAGTCAAGCTCCTGGTCGTTCCCCTCCGCATATTTGTGCCCGGGTCGCCTGCCTGGCTCGCCACCCGCGAGTCGTTCGCACGCCCCCACCGAGAGAGATAGGCCCGGGCCCTTTCTGCGCACGAGAAGAGGCACGACGGGGCGTTTTGTTCGTGGCCTTGGGTCTTGGGCCACTGGGGGCCCTCGCCGGGTTCGAGACCGTCAGAGAAGGACTCGGGATGAAAAGCCGGTGCCGGAGAATGGGTCGAGACCTTTTCGGGTGTTGCTAGAAGTGCCCCTGTCTCAAGGTACCCCCAGTTGTTCGCCTCATTTTTGGACCCCTGGGGCCCTCTGGGCCTCATTAGGGGTGCCCTGGAGGCCCCCTGGGCCACCCCGAGAATCCTGGGGGCACCTTGGGCCAGGGGCTCTTCTAGCAACACCCGACCTTTGGGGGTCGACGTCATGGAAGATGGGAACGTCGGAGATCTGGTGGGCGCGCACTCCGGGGCCCTCACGCTCGGGCCGGTGCAGCGCGGGGTTGGAAGAGGCGCGCGGGGGGGCAGACTGCGGGCGTCGCGAAAGTTCTTCAAGCAGTGGCGAAGCGTCCTGGCGTGCCTATAGGCCTACCAGCCAATGTTCTAAGAACCTTCTGTGGTTTCCACGACATGCTCTTAGAACATGTCTGGCTGGGACTGTCTTGTTTTAACAAATCGAGAGGATGTTCTAAGAATTTTGTTCTTGTTATTCTAACACTTCTAGGTTCTAGGAACATGTCGTGGTAGGCCTATAGGAATGCCGGAACGGTCGGTCCCTGCTCAAGAGAAGCGCCGCGTAACGACATGGGCGAGGGTTTTGGTGCAGTCGAAGCCGATAGTAAAGGATGAGCGACTTCCCACGGGCACCCCTGCATGCTTGCCTCTTCAGTCCGTCCTCGACCCCGTTCGATTGCCAGCCCCGCTCGAGAAGCTTCGACATGGGCGTGCAAGGGGCTTGCCTCCTTATCGCGCATCCTTACTGCCAGTTGTTACTGTAGTGGCTTGTTGCTGCTCCGTGCTCCTTCCACAACGCTGGGATGTCTGGGTGAAGAGTCGGGGAGGCGAGCGGTGGTGGATCGGGAGGGGGCTTCGACCGGAGCAGGAGAGCGAGAGGGATCGTGCTGGGGGGGGGGTGGTGAGGGGACCCGGACGGGGATGCAAATGCGGCCCGGGAGACGGACGGCGAGGCGGGAGGAAGCGGGGCATCGGAGAGCGGAGGTTCGGGCGACGGGAAAGGCCGAGGGGAGGGAGAGGCGGAGGGGAGAAGACGGGACCGGGCGTGCATGGATAGCTTGATGGGGGTGGTGGAGGGAAGGAGCGCAGGGACGAAGGGTTACAGCCGCGCATCCATAGGCGCGTGGGTGATGCCACCAGCGTGCGCCAGACAGTGTACTTGCCCACCGTTGTTGTCTTGTCTCGCAGGTGGATAGACCTCCTACCCTGACACGTCGATTCAGGGATTGGCCGTTTTCGGTTCCCGAGAGGGCGTCGCGGCCGTCATTTTTGCGGGTCCAGGTCCGTCGGTTTCGGTCCCAGGTCGTTTTCACTAAGGGGAGGTTTGCTAAAGGGAGGTTTGTCCACCGCCGACTGTCTCTCGCTGGAAGCGTGCCCAGCTTGTTGATGCGTAACCAGAAGTACGGCAGACGTGCTGCGGGGGGGGCGCCAGAGGCGCAGCACCGACGAGCTCGCGAAGCTGTTCGCGGAGCCGCCAGGGGGGGGGGTGCCTGGCCTCGCTCGGGGCGGAAGCAGCGGACGCTTGCTGGCGACGACTCGGCCACGCGCAGAGGGGGGCAGGGGGAGGGGGCAAGGCTTCTTAGAAGCACCCCTGCTCCTCAGAAGGCGCGGGCCTGATCCGCAGATGTTTGGCCCGCGCCTTCTGGGATGAGGCCCCTTCTCAGAAACCGCCCCCCTCCCCCTACCCCCTTGTGCGCGCCGCCAAACGACGGCGACGACGGTTGGCCCATCCAGGAAGAGAGGCTGTTTGCACGATCGGATGCAGTATCAGCAGCTATCCAGACAGACACGATCAACAGAAGGATAGACTGAACCCTGACGAGCCAAAGGCAGGCTAATCTTCGCCAGCCTCCAGCAGGCGAGCACCAATCTGTGTCCAAGCTGAAGGCAGGCGAGCAGCAATCACGGGGAAAGCTAAGCGAGGCCAGAAGGAAATTCAGGGTCAGTGGCAGGGTTCCTCTGCTTGGCATCGCTCGGACGTGTGCACGTTTTATCGGCAAGGGCCATCGAGGAGCATTTTTGTTTATGTTGCCCAAAAACACGCACGAAACCGAAAAATGCACAGGGAATGGACGTCCACGCGATGGCGAGTCTATGAACGAGTGGGGCTCTTTCGGGAATCAGGGGGGTCCTTGTTGAACTGGAGCTGGAGAACTTGGGTGAGCTCGGCGCACCGTGGTGGGCGTGTGCGCAGTGCCGCCTTCCCCGTGCACTGACAAAGTTACGAACCCCTTGGGCAGAGCTTAGTACGGTAGAGGGGAGCAATTAGTGGACACTCCCCCGCTCCCCAAACTCACAGTTGGCACGCGCGGGGAAGATTGCGGTCGAAGTGCAGCTCATTCCACCCACCACCCACATTGATCGGTGGGGGGGCCACTGACAGATGAATGCGGCACGAGTGTTCGCTATTTTCTTCCGAGCCTGGATATCCTGAATAGCCGCACGGGATCAGCTGCTCGGCGGGGCCTCTGCGAGGCATCGCGGGGCACAGCGAGGTCGCAAGACCCCAGGCGTTCGACCATAACCGCTTAAGCTCGGAGCCCCAGACCCCTCATGGGGCCAATCCTGGCCAGTTCTCAATCCTGGATCTATGTTTCAGTCGGGCACGTCCCTCTGAAGGAGGAAAGTTCAAAAAAAGAGTCAAACAGTTGTCTGGGCACCATTGTTCCGCAATGTTCGACTATCTTTTCAGTACTTTGACCACTCTCATGCTTCTTCCCAAACCCGCTCGCAGGAGGACGTGCCCGACCTACACATTTGTTTCTTGGTCCCGGAGCCCGAGGCGGGCCCCCAGCGGCGCCAAACCGCGAGAGCCCTGCTCGAATCCCCCCCCCCACGCCCGTGCGCAAGAGGAGCGCCCGAGGGGCGGCGGGGCGCACGGGCGCGCGCGCGCGGGCGCGCGCGCGGAGCCGCCACCGGCCCCCGAAGCCGACTCCAGCACTCGAGGCTGCTGCGATGACGGCGACGGGGCCTGCGACGGCGCCTCCTCCCTCCTCCTTCTCCTCCATCTCCTCCTCCTCCTCCTCCTCCTCCTCCTCCTCCTCCTCCTCCTCCTCCTCCTCCTCCTCCCTCTCCTCCTCCTCCTCTTCCGACCGACGGATAAGCCCACGGGCTCGCCGCGCCGCGCGACGGCGCCGCGCCGGCGACGACGACGACACGGGACGCTTCCCGCTTGCGAGCGTCCAGTCGGCGGAGCCTCGGCTCTGCCTAGCCGCGGTCCGCGTGGACGGCTGCCGGTTGCTCCTCGTCGCCCTTTCCTTTTCTGCTGCCCCTTCGCTCGGCATCGCTCGGACGCGTGCCTGCTCTCATCGGCGGGGACCATCGCGGAGCATCCTGGACCATCAAGCGAAGGAAACACGCACGACATCGAACAAAAACATGGTGAATGGGCGTCCGAGCGACGGCAAGTCCGAGTGTCAAGTACACGGGGCCCCAAGTGCCCCGAGCCGCGGTTCGAGGGTGGCGGCAGGTGGTCACATCTGCGAGGTGGGGATCCATCTGCATTCACCGCCCGGGGAACCGATGCCCTGGCACCCTCGGAGGCGGTGGATACTGATATGTTCTCCCCCCCAGGGCCCGAGTACAGTCGGCACTGATTCGTAGGTCGATCCTGCCAAATCCAGGGTACCCTTGTGTCCTGTGTCTCGCGACCTGTGCCTCCTGCATTCCTATGGCACTGTGGCGCTCGGCAGGGTCTCGTGTCCTCTCCGTGTGTCCTGTCCAAACAAGTCCGACTGTATATATCCACATCCAGCGCCTGCGGAAGTGCCCGGAGCTCGACCCCCAGGCCGCGGTTATGGATACCCCACCGCCTCACAGGCACGTCCTGCGCTCCACCCGGACTTCACCTGGTCGCCAATACGAGATCCACCTCGCGGATCCCATGCGCGTCAGCACCGCCCAGCTCGTCTTCTGCCTGCCGCCTGCCAGGGCGATGCGGGGGAGGCAGAGGAGGGCATGCGCACCTCGAGGAAGCGCAGATATGCGGTTGAGGCCGCGTGGACGAGCGACGGGCCTCGGTTCCGTGCCGACTCGGGGAGCTCCGTCCCCGGATCACGCGGTGCTCGGCCTCGTGCTTCGGGGGTGGTTGCCCTCCCCGATTCGTGGACCTGGTGCTTTCGCGCCAGACTTACGTCGGGCCTGTCCCTCTACAGGAGGGACTGTCCCTCTACAGGAGGGATATCCCAGAATGGTAAAACAATAGTCTGGGGACGTTATTTTTTACAAAAAAAATGAAATGGGCGTGTTTGGGGTATTTTTCATTTGTTTTCGTCCAACATCTGCCTGTAGGGGGACAGGCCCGACCTAACGGGCAGACCCACAGATCCTCACCCGAGGCTGGCGCGCGCCACAGAACCAGCTCCGCAGCGGCCGCGGCCGCAGCACCGGGGGAGGCGCGGAGGCCGGGGCCAGGCCATGGAGGAGGCAGGGAGGTTTCGGATGCGCTCCCCCCCAACCCAAAGTTTACCAGCCTCGAACTTATCCCTATCCCTAAGATTGACACGCCAAAAAGCGATGACAATCTTAGGGATGCGCCCTCAAAAAATAAGGGAATCCCTAAGATTGGCATCGTGATGAGGAGATGCCCAGCATAGGGATAGGGATATGTTCCAGGCTGGTAACTGATAGACCTCCTACCCTGACACGTCGATTCAGGAATTGGCCGTTTTCGGTTCGCGAGAGGGCGTCGCGGCCGTCATTCTGTGCGGGTCCAGGTCCGTCGGTTTCGGTCCCAGGTCGTTTTCACTGAGGGGAGGTTTACTGAAAGGGAGGTTTGTCCACCGCCGAGGGTTAGTTCCTGTGGTGACGTCGAGGCTTCTCGGACTCTACAGTATTCGGCCTGACCTAAGGAACGATACATAAGGACCGGAGCCCCTTTTTCCCGAGTGAGTCTAGGAAGTCCGAAGGAACACCAGGGGGGCCTCGCCGCCGAAAAGGTAGCGGAACGCGTGCAAACCGCCGAGACTGACGGGGCAACTGCACCAGGCCCAGGTGGGCGTGGGAGCGGGGGGCAGGGACCACGACCCTCGCCGGCCATCTCGCCGCCACCCGAGGGCCAGGCCGAGGAGGGTCCCGCCTCCCCCCCCGTCGGGGGGCGGGGCGGTGCGGCCTCAGCCGCAGCTGGCAGCAGGCCGCGAGCGAAACGGTGCTTTGGCGATTTCGTGGGCCGCTTCCGCAGCAGAGCGGCAGCGAAGACAGGACGAGGGAGAGCGGTAACAAAACGAGAACGGCTAACGCTCTGGCCAGCATCCAGCCGCTCTCTCCGAGACTCCCCCCCCCCTCCCCTCTCGTGCGCTGCTCCGTCACCCTGCCAGTCCACGCCGCCTCCCGGCCACCCTCGCAACGCCGCTCGCCACCCCACCTTCCCCTCGTACTGAGCAGGGGAAGGCCAAGCGCAACACGTTCCAGGGAGAATTCGAGCGTGGACCCACAACGCACAAGCCATCAGCTCGCTCTTGGGAAGCAAAAAGCAAAGTCAAAAACAAACCAACGAATCAACAACAAACAAACAAACGTCTAAATGTAATTGACGTTCGCTTTCGCTGCGCTCTGAGTGTGCTTGGCCTCCCAGACGCAATAGATGTTGTAGAGGCCTCTGGCCTGTGCCGCCGATATCGGCACGCTCTGAGACGCTCCGTGCGAACTCGTCCTGTTTAGCTCGTGAGCTATACCTCGAGGACGCAGGAGGGAGGATGAGGGAGGAGGAGAAGGAGGAGGAGGAAGATGAGGAGAAGGAAGACGAGAAGGAGAAGGAGGGTGCTGGTAGTCGCCCTAGTTAGGCAGCATGTGTTGGCTGGAATGTTTGCGCCGCGCCCGTCCGTCGAGCTTCATGGTGGGCCAGTTCCCTGACGGGTTGGCTCGTTGGTGGGTCGCTGGACTCGGGAGCCACAGCCCCGGTCCTGGCCCCGGTCCCGGGCCCCAGCCTCGGCCCCGGGGCCCGGACCCAGCGCCCCGGCGCCCCGCCTCGCCCCGGCACCCCGCGGCTCCCCGCGGCGCCCCAGCGCTTCGGCCCCTCGGCCCCGGCCCCAGCCCAACATCAACGTCAGCATCATCACCGCCACCACCAGCATTAGCATCAGCATCAGCATCAGCATCAGCATCAGCATCAGCATCAGCATCGGCATCATCATCATCATCATCATCATCATCATCATCATCATCATCACCATCACCATCACCATTACCATCACCATCACCATCACCATCATCATCATCATCATCATCATCATCATCATCATCATCATCATCACCATCATCATCATCATCATCATCATCATCATCATCATCATCATTATCACCATCATCGTCCTCATCCTCATCCTCATCCTCATCAGCATCATCAGCATCATCAACATCAGCATCATCATCCTCATCCTCATCCTCCTAATCATCATCACCATCACCATCATCATCATCATCATCATCATCATCACCATCCTCATCCTCATCCTCATCCTCCTCCTCCTCATCATCATCATCATCATCATAATCGTCATCGTCATCGTCATCATCATCATCATGATCATGATGATCATCATCATCATCATCATCATCATCATCATCATCATCATCATTGTGATCATCATCATCATCATCATCATCATCATCATCATCATCATCATCATCATCATCATCATCATCATCATCATCGGCATCATCATCAGCACCAGCAGTATCAGCATCATCATCACCCCCCCTTCCACGCCCC